GTATATTTCTTATGTACTGCTGCTACCAGAGTCAAAGTGATCAAATGACTTTCTTTTCTTTGTAAAGTATTAGAACTAACTTCACGAGGGCAAGAAATACTTGCTGTTTGCCACCTCCTTGACACGCTTCTCTAATTACACGCAGCTTACTTCTGACATACTTTAATTAGCATGCTTAACTTCAAGAAGCTTAGTGCCCATTGCTAAACAAGCCTGTGCCTTTCAGACAGGCTTTCAACAAAGCTTTAAGGTCATATTTGAGTTCTATCAGGGCCACAGAAACTTCGAACTCACTGCATGATGAGCACTCCAGTCTAAATGCCTTTAGGAGTCAAAGCAACGGCTAGCAAAGGAGAAATAGGTAGGGAGCTTCAAGGTGCCCAACAGATGAACGTGATGGGGAATGGTTGGGTGCTCAACTAAGAACTTCTGGTGATGACATGAAAAAAGGGAGAGCAGAGGGCTCCATCAGCACAGGGGCAGTTAGGAAAGGCTGCACTCTGCTCCCAGAAACTACCCTTCTAATGCTGCTCCTCCTAACCCTCAGATTTGAGGGCTCTTAGCAAGGTAAGACCCATTTATCAACTCTATTAAACTACTGCTTAAAGTCTGCCAAATTTATATGAAGAATAAACACACAGTACTTGAAAATTGTGTACTTACAATTGCAGTAGGCAAACCAGCATCCACTTTGTCCTAGAAAAACAGGACAAATTATGAGTAAGCAGCAGAACTCCCTGCACTATTAATGTCTCTAATAATACAGCACACAGAGTCAACACAAGATGTTTTAATAAGTCTCACCAGGGCAGAAAGTGCAGAGAGAACCACAGGCAAGGAATACTCAGAACAGATGAGGAAGCATGCAGAAATGGAGAAGCAGAGGACTATCCTGTCATTCCAAATGAAAGCTATCCTGTTTTTCCTCAAAAAAAGTCTAATCTGATTAACAGCCCTCAGTATTCTCTATGGACACTGCACTGATATCTAATGCAAAACCATTTCCCTCTCCAGAACACCTTCTTAGCTTCCCACCCAGGTGGTTCACACCTCCATCAACACAAGTAACAACTAGCTGCAGCACACTCAGACTCGAATCACACAGCCCTTACAGAGATACTCACAGAAGAATCACCTGCATTTTATGCTAACAAGCCTGCTTCAGAATTCACATTCTTTATAATTCACTGCCTCAACTGTGATCTTGGACAGCTCCTTTTCACTGGCAGCACAACCTCCAGGCAGGCCTGAGGTGCAGTCAGACAGCTTGTGGGCCTGGGATGAGTGTGGCCTGTGCCTGCTGCAGGCATTAGGCAGACCTGCTTCTAGCACCTTTAAGCAACAACAGCACTGACATCATTTTGTATTAACATTTCCCATCAGATTTCTTGACATCTGGCAACAAAAAGCAGTGTTAAAGAGGACTTACCACATTATTGTGCAGATAGTCAGCTAATAATTCACTCCTAGTTAGAGGTTACTAACACTAGCTTACGTACTAAACATGTTAATACTAATACTATGAAGAGGGAGAAGATCACCCACATCCCTCTATACCAGAACAAGCCGAAATTTTACTTAATAGATGTCACCAGGAGAGATAGACACTTACTGCTGCAGATACAATTTGGGCAGAAATCCCTTTCAGAAGTGAGAGTCTTATAACTGATCCATGCAGAGAGAGAGAATCCGGGAGTTTTTTCTTCCTAAGGAAAGAAGAAATAATCCAAACACATTAAAGCAGAGTTTGGAACACATGCCCACAGCTAAACCAGCAGGTAAAGTCTGCATGTATACATAACCATGCAGTTTCCATTCTTATTGCTGATGCACACGTGTCCAGAATCAACAGCCGTAAAATCAATAGCAAAGTATACAACCTAACACTGTGCCTGCATCAGAATTTGTCTTAATTCCTCTTCCACAGAAATGAAAAGTCCTTCAAACAAGTCTTCAGTTTCAAGCATCTCTCTGCAGACTACAGCATTTATTAATAAAGCCTAAGAGAAACACTTCTGCTCTTTACTCCAGCCTCAGTGCACCAGAAAGCTTCAACCTCTAAAGGTGAGCACCTGTAGGCAACACACAACTGAAAAATGCTCATTAGCAGCATATGGACCCCTGGGAAAACCAGATGTATGATTGAAGTGTAATATTCAGTTTAAACAGCTGACTGTATACAAATGGTAAAAGTTGCTGTTTATGGAGAAAATGTTTTTAAAGGCAACCAGTGTACAAGGAAAAGTAGATTCTGAAGAGCACTGGTATAATGCAACACACATAGGAGGGGGAAATTCCCCAGGAAAACTCAGTTATCTTTCCAAAGACATACAAACAAGTAGGTAGGCTAATTAAATATGCTTAATAGCTTATAGTGTGGCTGAGGACCCAGAAACATGGTGAGCAGCTTCAAACAAACATGATAAAAATGACTCCCAGTTTTTCTGCCTTCCATGTACTGGAAAATATTAAGTCCCTTCAGGTTACGTTTCACTCAGTACCAAACATTTTTTCTGGAGACAAAAGAACAGTGCCTCAGAACACCACCAAATGCCACCATGAACTGTCACACTTAAGAGTGTTTGCAATTGTTTCCAATGCAGTTGCACATGTAGCAATCACAGCACAACAGAAACCAGAGGCCAACTTCCCATGGCACATAAGCAGGCCATGGGAGTGGCTCAGGGTGTAAGATGAAGCCATAGTTTGAGTAATTAACAAAGTAAGTCAGCAGTATTGCAGCTAACTATCACATTCCAGACTGCTTTGGGATGTCAAAATTCACATTCCATTTCCAGGAGCAAAAGCATTTTGCTTGCCCTTTCAAAACGCAGAAGGTTGCTTTAGGAAGTTCCAATTGTTCTTAGCATTTATAGTCCTTCTACCCAACCAAAAACATCATTACTTTTAATTGATTTAAATTGCCAGGGTATCAGACTTGTAGTACCTTTTCAGGTGCGTCCTGTCCCCACTGTCAGAGCTTGCTACAGAAGATGTGTCATAGGAGTGTGTATCTGTGTTATCAATGTTCAAGAGAAAGGGATCTTCCAAAATGAAAGACTCTTCTTCATCATCAGTCTGAAAGAAGAGAACCACCACACTTGGTAAACATCCAAAACACACAACACCTTAATGGAAACAGCAGCAAAATGGCATCAAGTAAGCAGAAAAAAAATTATGAGAATACAATAAGATAATCTCTTATTAGAAAAACAGAACTATGCTATACTGTGGATAGCGTGGAAGAATCAGTCTCCAGAACCCTAGTGATCACAGAGGGGATGAATAGTGTGGGATCTCCAGTGAGAGAATGCTGCCAACAAGAGAACTAAACATGCTGCACCCCAGGGCCGCCTTCTGCTGGTGACCCTCTCTCCTCAAGCTTTACCTAGAATTGTTTCTATGTTATTTTTAGGTGGCCATTGCTTAAGCTACCTTCTAACTTCAACACACATCACACTGTCCTTGAAGCACAGAGCCAGAGTGCAAACACAACGCTGCACTGAGAGCCAACGTGCAGAGATGACAGCAGGTGCTCCTTGTTTGCCTCACAGAGAGCAGCCCTGTGCTCACTTTCCTTCAGAGCAAGGTACGCCTATGGGCTCACTCAGCTCGTGCTCCACATTGAAATCCCTTCCTGAAAACACTTTGCAGGTCATTCCCATCCTGTATACACTGAGACAAACAGCACCAAAGACAGTCTGCACTGAGTCAGGTTTTCTTCAGTTAACCACAGTTCTACTCCTTTGACGTGGACGGGCCCACTTGTGAGTTTGGGCTCACAGAAATTCTGAGCTCCACCTACATCCATCACCAGAAAGAGGTCAGGTTCTTCTGCACCTCCACTCAATATCCCTTCTACTCGGCCAGCAATCTGCTGAATGTTCCTCCAGTTCCTAGACTGCATGTGACTGTCCGGGACACTTCATACCTGTACCTTTAATGCAGATTTTAAGAGAAGTCACCTGTTCCAAGCTCCTTTTTGCCATTATATGGGGCCAAACCTATGAAACAGACTACCAAAGTGGAGCTGTGAAGAATCCAGCAATTACACGACTCAACACGTGCTGTGTCAGCTATCAGTATCAGGAAGCCATAGGGTTACACCACTTTATTTCCCAGAAGAAAACGAGAGCCTGGGTGACCTCGGGGACCTCCTCCAGCCTCAGTGACAGCAGTTCAACGCAGCATTGTGCCGTGCTCCTCTCACCTCGTTCAGGATGCTCTCCAGCGTTGGCGGGGTATCGACTTGAGGGATGTCGAACTCTTTGTCATCGATCTGGACATCAGAAACCACAGACCGGGGTTAGGTGCCCACCCCGCCTTCCAAACTACGAGAGGAGCACCCTTTGCTTACACCCACCCCGCGCACAGGCGCCAGATTCCGACAGACAGCGACAAGATACGGGGAAAAGCTTTAGACAAAGAGGGAAGGTCGGGGCGAGATGCGAGGAGGGCACGTTTCGCCCGGGGCGCTCCCGCTGCGCTCTCCCCGGGGTCAGGCACGGCAGGGCCGGCCTTGCAGCTCCGTGCCGCCCGATCCCCGCCCCGCTGGAAGCGGCACGGCGGCTCGCAGTACGAGCGCTGGCGTTGCCTGCACGGCGGCCACAGGGACCGCTTCCCCACCTCCACCCACACCGCCGGACGGGGCGCAGAGAGCACGGCACGGCACGGGCAGCGCCGGCACGGAAATGGCGACGCACCAGCTCGCTGCGGGAGTCCAGCTCGCGGTCGAGCTCCACCGCGCTCAGGCGGGACGCGGACGGCTCCGGGCAGGCCAGTCCGTCCGGCTCAGCCTCGCTTCCCGCGGGGCCCTCCTCCGGCGCCGCGTCCATGGCCGGGCTGGGACTGGTGGCGGGGCTAGCAGGCCGGCGGCGCCGGGACTCGAACCTGCGTCCGGAGCCGCCCCCGCTCCCGCGCAGGCGCAGCACGGCACCGCCGCCCTCCCCCCCGCCGCTGTTAAAGGGGCCGCAGCGCGGCGGTAACCGAGGGGCGGAGGCGATGGAACGGAGCGGTTTATTGGGAAGTGCGCGGCTGCCCCGGGACGGCGGCAGCGAAACTGGACTAGGGAGCGTCGAGGACGTGAGCCTGCGGTGGGAGGGAAAGAAATCATCAGTGACGTGGAGAGTTACCAGTGAGAGTCGCTGCAGGGGATGCAGTGGTACGGCTGCAGTGAGCTCAGAACAAAGGCTGCATTTCCTCAGCAGCGCTGTGCCCCGCACAGCCGCTGTAGGACAGCTGCTGCCAGTGATTGCACAGCGATATCCCAGCGCAGGAACGAGCAGGGCCCAGTGCAGTGAAGTGCCCGCCCCTGCAGCCTGAGAAATGTCATCAGAGCTGCTAGATTATGGAATTAAAAGCTAAGGTATCCTGAAGGAATAACTAATGCTAGGGGTGGGTGAGCTCAGCAAGAGAAAACACAGAGTTCTCCCTCCATCCTGTAGAGCAAGGTGAGGAGTTGCTTTTCCTTCTCCTAGGAGGACAGAGGGTTTAAAAACACAACCACCCTTTCAGCTTCTTCCTTAAATCCAAGAGGGCTGCACAACCCTGTGACATGGGATGCACATCAGCCTTCAGGCTCAGCCCAGAAAAACTGATAGGTTTTTGGCAGGAAGCAACCCAGCTTCAGCACCTTGCTGGCACTGGAAAGCTGAGCTTTGGCTCTAACAAGAAGGATTCAGAGCCTGATTACCACAAAACGCTCTCCTCCATGCTCCAAAACCTTCTTTCCCACTGCCAGCTGTTTCAGAATGGTCTTCTGCAGCAATGGGGCATTTGCTCCTCTCACAATAGCTGTCAGTTCTCCTTTCTGAAAAGGGTGAGAAGCAGGTCTGTCAGTGAGCCCAGCTCCCTGGGCTCTGGAAATCACCAGACCATCTCATCATGTCCTGTGTTATAACAGAATCGTTAAGGCTGGAAAAGACCCCTCAGATCCCCAGGTCCAATCCCAGCCCACCCCACCATGCCCACTGCCCACGTCCCTCAGTGCCACATCCCCACAGCTCTGTGCACCTCCAGCTCACTGTCTCACCTCCGTGTGCAGCTGTGCAGCGCCTCGCTGCTCTTTCTGAGAAGGAACGTTTCCTAACACCCAACCTGACCTCCCTCCCTCCCCTGGCACAAGGTGAGGCCATCACCCCTCATCCTATTGCTGTCATCTGGAAGAAGTGACTGACCTCCATCCGCCACAGCCTCCTCTCAGGGAGTTGCAGGGGCTGATAAGGTCTGCCCTGAGCCTCCTCTTCTCCAGACTGATCTATTCCAGCTCCCTCAGCAGCTCCCCATAAGTCTTGTGCTCCAAAACCCTCCCTCACAGCTTCACTGCCCTTCTCTGGACACACTTCAAGGCCTCAGTGTAGTGAGGGGCTCCATGCTGAGCACAGCACTCGCTGTGCGGCGTCACCAGAGCTGAGTACAGGGGACAATCGCCTCCTGCTCCTGCTGGCTGCACTATTTCTGATGCAAGCCATGATGCCACTGGCCTTCTTGGCTGCTTGGGCACCCTGCTGCTCATGTTCAGCTCAGCATCAACCAACACACCCAGGCCCTTTTCCATTGCACAGCTTTCCAAGCCCCAAGCCATAGCGCTCCATGGAGTTGTGAGCAAAGTGCAGGACTGGTCTTGTTTAAACTCACAACTGGCCTCAGCCCAGCAATCAGTCTGTACAGATCCCTCTGTAGGGCCCTCCTACCCTCAGGCAGATCAACACTTCCCCCCAACTTGGTGCCATCTGCAAACTTACTGAGGGCACACTCAATCCCCTCATCCAGATTGACAGTAGAGATATTAAATTATGTACCAGGCCCTCCTCATAGGCAGAGCTTCTCCACTCCAAAACGAAAGGGAAATTTTGGAACAACTTTCTTTACTGATGTCCCTGAGGATGAAGGGAAGCAGCCTGTGGCAGCAGTGAGGCCCTGCAGTAGCGCAGCTCTCCATGAAGACAGCTGTTTGCACTGCTAAGTCACATTTATTGCTGTGTAACTACTGTAAGAAACTTTTCACTCACTGTGTAGAAGAGAAAGATGGGCTCACATTTTCCTCTGTATTTTTCCAGAGCATCAACGGAATCAACTTCAGCCTAAAAAGGATGTCAGATAAAAAAGGTGCTTATGGGAAAATATTTTTGCTTCAGAGGAACATACACAGAACAGCCTGTGCTCAGAACTGCCCAGCACTCACCCCTCATGTACAGCAAAATCCCAGGCTGAAATGACACTGGTCAGGGCAAGGATTTTGTCTCAGCTCAGTAACACACTCGAAGCTGTGGATGTCTCTGGGAGATTCTGCCTGCAGGAGCTGGGGCTGCAGTAGGAGTGTGTGCAAGGCTGTGTGAAATGGAGTTTTGAGCATCTCTACAAATCAGATCTCCACAGCTGTCTGGGAACTTGTCCCAGTGCCCCAATCACTCCTATTTGAACACTTTTTTTTTTTTTCCCTTGTATATTTTGGAATTTTCGCTGCCACAATTCAATCTTGTTGTCTCTTGTTCTTTCTTACGTACCACTGAGCAATGCCTGTCTCTTCCCTCTCTAATAATGCCCCATTAGGCAGCCAAAGACAGCTCTTGGCTCTGCCCCTGAGCCTTCTCCAGGTTTTGAAAACCCAGCTCCTTCACTCTCTCCCTGTATGGCACAGGAACACACATGCTGCTCATCCTGTCCAATGTTATTTGCGTAAGCAATTTGGTGCACACTGCAGAAACAAGTCCCTTGGAAAGTTCACCAGGTCAGCAGGCAGACATCTTCCAACTAACGTGTCACCCAGCCCAAGAATAGCAAGTTTGCTGCCAGAGTCAAAGTAAGAGCTGGTAAAATATGAAAGTCATGAATCAAAATGATCAGTTGCATTCAAGCCTTCTCCTTTGCAGAAAAACATCTGCAAAGTATAGAATTGTTCAAGCCTGAAAATCTTTAATGGTATGAGCTATTTGTGATGTAACCAACCTGCATCCAGCAAGTTCATTCACACAGGCTGGAACTCTGCACTGTTACTGTTCTGGATGGATTTGGAAAGATGAATGACTTCAGTTACCTGCTATGTTCAGGGGACAGAATATGGATTTTTTTAAGCAGTGCCAAGTGGGACCTTACCACAGCAAAGTGCAGAAGGTCACTGCTGACTTCATTCCTTATTCTTCGGAAAAGATCCACTACTGTTTTGCATGGGCCACACCAGGCTTGATATGCATCAACAACTGCAAGCATGAAAATAAGAATAGGGTCAGAATGGATTTCAGACCGACACCAATAGGCTGGTTTGTGCACTTTGCAGGGTAATCTTTAGGAAGAGGGCTGCATTAAGGCCATTAGTGCCATAAGAAACCTGAAATCCTCACAGAAATGAAGTGTCCCCTTCTGGTGATCTCTATGGCATCACCTTCCTGGGGAAGGAGATTTTCCTAAGGTCCAACCTGCGCCTCTCAAGCTGCAGCCTGGGGCTGTTGCTCTCATAGTTCTGATTCTTGCCAAGCTCCACAAGGGCTGCAGATTCAACTACAGTAGAAACTAACTACTGATATACTAATAGATCAAAGGGTCAAATGGCATTAAAAATAACAAGCTCACAACGTTGTGGAGTCTTTAAAAGATATATGCACGTGGTTGTGACCCTGAGGGTATCAGATTTTCCAGGGTAACTTGCTGCACAGGCTCACCTAGCCACCCTCTGACCCCCACATTGAGAGCCAGAGCTGCTCCTTGCACTGGGATCTCCCTGCCCCTGCCTGGGGCTGGATGGGGGACTCGAGGCTCCTGCACCAGTGCCACTGTAGTTCAGTGATAACTGTCCCACATCAGTTGGTAACCTCCAGCTTGTACAGCTTCTGGTAATATGGTATAATATTCCTTACTTTCACTCAGGGCAAGAGAAATAGAGGGTTCATCCAAACATTAGTATCAGCAGAAACTGATTCCTAACAGGACCAAAGTGCTTGTAACACAGAACAAATCAACACTGTGTGTTGACCAAGCCCTTACCAATGAGGCCTTCAAGACACAGCATTTCCTCCCAAAGTTCCTGGCTATTGATGTTCATCTGTGTGAAAATTTAAAAGCAGTCAGAGCAACAGCAAGTCACCAGGTAGTTGTAAACATATCGACATGTCACTGTGTGCTTGCCTGTATGACAGAGACATCCGTTCAGAGGCATTAATCTGAACACTGCAGGAAAATCTTCCTGCCTGCACTCCTCTAGTGAGCAGGGCAGGGCCAGAACACAAGTGGGAGACTACTCCCCCCCCAAAGCATTGCACAGGCATATGGAGGGGTATAGGAATACTTGGACAAATGCAAGCCCTCCCCTTTCAGTAGCAGCAACTCTCTGAACAGTCTGGGTGCTTGGAGACAGCACCTTTGGTTTGCAGAGACAGTTATTCTGGGAGGTGAGCAGGGAAATGGTCCCTGTGCCTTCGTGGGGTGTTGGCATCGGGGACTGTACCAGCAGTGCCATTGGTATCTGGATGGATCATGCCACAGTCTTGATCTTAGCATCAGGACAGCACTATGTGCTTTGCAAATCCTTTGGTGTGTTAGGCAAGAGGCTGCAGCTGGGGGATCACCTAAAAGTGAAAGCAGCATTCAGGCCAACCCATGTTTACATACCCCGTGGACACATTTCTTTACAGGTCCCCATCCTCCATAGGGCTAGGGGTTTCTTCCCTCCCTCTGTCCAAGCAGCTTTGCTCACAGCAGGGATGGGGTGACCCCTGTGACCAACCATGGGGTGCAGCACGGAGGGGCAGGCAAAGCTTTTGGAAGACCACACCGTCCCCAGTAATTCCACCAACCTCCTCTGCTGAGCAGCCTACCTCTGTAAGCGCAGGTCACGCAAGGGCATCAAAGAATAATTGTCAAGGATGTTATTGCAAAGTAAAATAATAAAAAGTGGCTCAGCACAAGCTACTCAAGTGTCAGCAATAACTCAATAAACTATCCCTACCATTGGAATGTGCTAAAAAAGCTGACTGTAGGTTGCCCTTGGACTTGCAGGGGAGCAAAAAAGGATGACACCCAGGGTTAGTAGAACCTGGCGTTTTCTAAATAAATTGTTCTGATTTTTTTTATTTTTTAACCAAATGACTTTGAAGAATCACTCATGTTGGTAATATTACTTCTTTGCTGCTGTGCTGATACTGAACAACAAAGATTCCTAGTAGCGTTCTCAGTCGGTATCATTAATCCTAAATACATTCAGTATTGTACCGGAATACACTGGAAGACTGTAAGCTGCAAGAAGGGTTATTATTCAGTAATTAACACCAATGCACATTAAAAGACTGATAGAATTCCCAAGTCAAGAACTCAGAGTGGAAATTCCCATGCAAATTAAGCGGCTTCTTGCAGACTTTCAGGTGTCACTGGAGGTCAGGGTGCGCAGTTTCTCCAGGACCCCCCTGGCTCAGAGCAGGGAGCTGTTCTGACACCTCCCTCTGTTCCAACGCCTTTCTCTGTTTTCAGCATGTGACCCCACACCTAATTTATCAGAGCACATCTGCAGAGTTAAGAAATGCAATTATTCCAGGTATCAGCAGCGCTAGGACCACCCTCGGAGCGTCCCACAGCACGTTAATGAGTTCAACTCATTGATGATGATCGCAATTTGCAATAATGAGTTCAACTGATGGACTCCGAAAGCAATGCCAGCACTGTTCAAAGTGCTTTGCTAACGTGGATGCCCAGCAGCAGCCAGGCTACGGCTCTTCTCTGATACCCAGAGCATCTCCAAGCCAACTCACTGCGCCATACACAAGGCTCAGGTCACGCAGTCGCACCACAGTCACACCTGTGCAGACCTAAACTAGGATCTCCCAGGCTGGATGTGCAGCTAGTTGCCAGAAGTGCAAAGTTTCATTGCAAACATTTGCCATCACAAAGGAATGCAGTGCAACGAGCAGCAGCAGAAATAATTCCTAGCTTAAACTCTTCACCTTTCTCTTCTTACATATTCACAGCCTCACCCCATGATCTCCAATTTTTATAATGACTTATGAAGTTCTTAACCTGGAATTTTTCCTGGTACCTCCCAACTTTTTCCAGCTTTGCAGCAACCTCTAAACAACACAAACCCCTGGCACTGACCTCAGGGCCGTATTTGTCTTGCTGCAGTTCCCCAGTGCTTCCCACCTGCCTTCAGGAACGCTTTTCTACCACCAGAATCTCACAGCAGGGCTCTGACAGCAGATACCCTAAGACCAAACTACATTCTTTCAATTCTCCATGAATTTAGAAGTTGTTCTGAGAGGCCCTCCAGCACGGCTGGCTCCCACTGACCTGAAGGACCGCCTCCTTTCTCTTTGCAGCCATTCTTCCACAGCAACAGCAGTCGCTGCGCAACGCTCTGCCGCCGTCTTCTAATTATGTCTTCTAATTACGTGATTCCGACCGCTGCCAACCTGCACCACAGAGAGAGTTTTACCTGCCGTTGCTTCTCCACCCAGCAGGACTCAGCAAGAGCAGGGCTGGAGCTGAGCGCTGCTGCAGCTTCTGGACCAAAACTACAACAGTGGGACTCCCAAGCCTGCGGAAGGAGCAGACTGGGCCCAGGTACCTGTGCAGCACCTGGCAGCTCCTCAACGCTGCTATGGCAGCAGAACAGCAGCCCGGCCCTCCCTGCTGCCCTTCTCCTGCCCCACTGCTGTGGGAAGCTGGGCTCCCTCTGCTGTGAGCCCCTCTGCCTGGTCGACCCACCCGGCTCTGCCTTCTGCTGCATGTCCCCCTCCACTCCTCATCCCTCCCAAACCCAGGGCACAGAGCCAGAATCACCCCATCGAGCACAGGTGAGAAGCTGCCAGCCCTTCTCCAAACACAGCTCCATGGTAAGTTTTCTTCCCTCATCTGAAACGAGCATCCAACTGCCTGCAAGCGTTCAGGTCAACAGAGCTTCTGCTCACCCTGACTCCTGTGCCAGGCTCCTTGGTGCACACCTCAACCTGCTCCCTGCCCCTTGGCAAACAGCAGCCATCCTCCAGCTGGCCACCTCCTGGCTCAGAACCTGGCTTCTGGTACAGCAGCTGCCCTCCCTTGTTGCCACCAGCAAGCTCAAGGTGACACTGCTTGGTGTCACAGGGACGCGGGCAGGGAATCCCCAGCCTGCATCACCAGCGTGGGCGAGCACTGCACTCCAGGGTGCCCCCACAGCTACCTCTATGTAAACATGAGCCCCCAGTAAAACCCCAATGATTATGACCACAGCTGAATTTTCACGTTTATACCTAACAGGTGCCTACATGTCAGAATTACTCGCTCATCCCCTTTGAAAACTTATTTTCTTGACTTCAATAACGTAACCTCATGCACTGCAATTATTCCTCTGCCTGCTATATCACTGCCTTAGGGAGACCGACAGAGGCAGGGCAGCTACTACCTGGCTAAAAGCTGTAAAAGTTTGGGGCTTTTTGTAATATGAGATGCTTTCCTTAAGAACACAAGATGCCTCTGAGCACATCGAGCAGCATGCTTCACTACCAGGAGCTCCATTTGTGATAGCAACAACTGGCAAATTGTCTCATTTGACTTTGAGAGAGTATCCCAACCAGCAAGCTGGCAGTGGTGAGGTACAGCCAAGCATGAGCTGCCTGATCACCAGCACACTCCAAAGCAAAACCAATCACTTGGACGCATGTAACCTTTGAGAGAATGGTTATCATCATTGGACCCTGCAAACAGACATAAGGAGCAAATATACTTAAAAAATTGATTAGGTTTGATTGGTTTTCAGGAAGAGAAACGGCACAAAGATGGCAGAAATGTGATCATCTGTGTTGTGTCCAAACTCTGCTTGCTTTGGTTCTGCAAACTCTAGCTCAAGAAATGCACCACCCAAGCAAAGCTGGCAAAGGCCTGGCCAGCACATTTGTCTCCATGCAAGCCTCAGGAAGCGACTGTGGGGCTGTGGAGATGGCACAGAGTGCCGACTGTTCCATGAAGTTCAGAAAAACCTACATGTTCTGGTAAAGTTTTTTTTTATTTACACTATTTTCTTCTCTTTGTACACACCTATAGCAACAGGAAAAATTATTCACAAAGCTTAACTGAAGGTAAAAATGTTCTCCATCCAACGGTTCGCCCTGCCAACACCTGCGGGAAATGGCAGTTGTTCTCACGCAGCAACAAGATTGTCTGAGCATTGTTTTTATCATTTCTGGTAGAATTTAGGAACCAACCACCTCCAAAGATGTACACAGGTATTACTCACCCTTCTTCTGAACACTTTTAGGCACCAAAGTTTTATAGAACCAAACTCAGAAAAGCAAATTGGGGGAGGAGGAGGAGAAAAAGAGATGTGAAGGAACTGGAGCTCCTAAACGTACGAAGCAGGAGTGAGAACTCAGAAGCCAGATACACACTGTAAAGTTTTACACTCACAATACCTGCCTCAGAACTTTCCCTCAGGTCAAGCCAAAATGTATCTGATGGGATTTTATAGATAAGACTTCATTTCTGAGGTACTGCTACTTATCAAGTTCTCACTTATTTTCACTTTGATTCTTGTTCGGCCTCCAAAGTCCATCACAGAAAAAATTGCAGAAGGACCTAAAAACTTCCAGTCACTTACTGCAATGCTTGGGGGAAAAGTGTCAGGTGCTCACTTTTATTTGTCTTTCGAGAGCAGAAGAAATTACATGAACTGTATATATTCTCCTCTGCAACCACATGATAACAGTTATCTGATACACAGCGCATTCAAATTCCAGGCCAAACCACGGTCACATTTTCTGACACGAGTGGTGACCTCTGAAAGAAGTAAGGCTGTCACAATTTGATCTTCTCATCAGAAATTAAAGATTAAGATACTTATCAAACCTGGTTAGCAAAGTTACAGACCTCTCTTCTTGCAGCAGCCTTCCTGAAGCTCAAGGTAACATATGAAAGATTTGGTTTAAGACGTAGGCTGCAACCCTTAGCATGCCTGTTAGTGCTGTGTAGATACAGTGTGTGGAGATTGACTACTGAAACTATGGCCTAACCTGAAATTAGAAAGTAGACACGGGAAGAAAGCAACAACCCTGAACTGCACGAAGGAGAGCTCCTTCTGCTCCATTAGCTCCTATGCATATCTGAATCCTGAAGCCACTGGGGGGGGTCTTGCATTCCAGTCTAACCTTACACACAGTCTTCATTTGCACCCCAAATTTTTTCCACACTTACAGGCACCATTTCAGGAACTTACAGACAATTTAAGCTTCTGAATACAGTAAAATCCCATCACTTATCACCCAGGTATCCAAATCCATGCATGTGTGTATATCTGTACATATACACACAATGTATAGCAACACGACTGAGCAAAAACAAAAAAAAATATAATTTCAATCTGTTCCCCAACTTAATGCACCCATTAACAGAAATGATTTGCATGTTGCTTAACTATGACTGAAGGTAAAGGATGCAAAACAAAAAGAATCCCTTAATCACTGCTTGCCAGGTCCTTCTGGTCTTGTGAAAGTGTAGCTTTTGCAACATGTTCTCTCTACTGATACTAGGGATCAGCAAGTATGTATCATTAGTGAAATCAACTAATCCTTCAGTAATTATCTGAGAAAATCCTTGGCTTCTACAGCAAGAGCTTACGCCTGCTTATATTGCAGCCACCTCTCACTTCCCCCAAAAGTCAACAGTCATGCAAACTCCAAAGCATGAGACTTTCTTCCAAAACTGTGCAGGGCCGTAGAACAATCCTGCTGACCCATTCTGCTGATTTGAGTACTTCGTCAGTACTGAGTGACCCTGTGTGGCAGGACAGTGCTAACTCTTGGATCCTGTCAGTACAGAATGTGCTGCTTATAATTTGGGATATACGGGATATATGTCTCCCCCTATTTTCCTCTTTGAAAAGGAAGTATAATGTAAGTTAAGCTGAAGTTCAGAAATGCATATATTTTACTTAAAAACATTCATCTGTTCAAAATTCAAAATAAACTTTATGGGATACAACAGTTTTCGTTTTTTTTTTAAATAACATTTCATTCAAACTGTATATAATTCATTGAAGTATTCGTACAGCAAACAATGGTTAACCCTTGAAAACCTGTAGAAAAAGATTTTCACACAAAAAAAGGAAAAACAAAATTGAGGTATCACACCCAACACACGTCCATCCAAGCACACACACGCACTCAAACGCACTCGCACACATCCACACACACAGGCTGCAGCAAAAGCAGAAAATTGTAGGCCCAAAAGGAAAATGATGACTGATTGTTCTATTCCAAAGTCCAGGTAGCTCAGGAAAAAAAGAAACAAACAAACCAAAACAACCCCCCAAGAGTCCTCTGAGTAAAGAAACTACCTCAAAAAAATTCTCAAGTGCACTGGAGACCTGATCATTTAAACTGTTTCTGCAAAGCAGCTCCCTGCACCTAAGAAAAATGCAGCCCAAGGTGACTTGTGCAAATATAAGGAGTCAGGAATATTTCCTGCTGTTCCTTAAGTAGACATGAGGGGTGTCCATAGATTCCATTAGCCTTTGATCATGCAAGATACTGTTGGAGTGCTGTCTTCGCCCTGTAAGAGAAAAACAAGCTGTTAATTGTTGGGTTCTGGCTTTATCGTCAACAACTGTATGAGCAAAACTACATGTTACATCAGCAAGACAGGGAAGATAACCAGTGAGGTGACAGGAAACTGAATAGCTGCCTCCTTCATTTGGAAGGATCTCATTGGTGGTGCAGTGTGGGCTGTAACAGTTCAAGGATCCCCCTGCACCTGAGAACAAGGCCATCTAACCATGTACACTAGGATGTTCAGCATAGCCAGCGACTGTCAGATACGGTGTGGATGAGGATGTATCTCAAACCTTGAATTTTTAAACAAAGAAATCCCCCTTCAGTTGGTGAAAAGCAATTCTTTTTCTGTATGCTACAAATGTACCATGAAAGCAGTGACTGCAGCTGAGAAATGAACCTGTCAGTATCAGGAACACAGCCCACACGAGAAGCACATCATTCCTGTCAGTAAGACTGCCCCTACCAACGCCACACAGTGAGCTGAGAGGGTGAAAAGCAGCAGTCAGAACAGCACAATTGATGCAATCTAAGTTTGCATGATATTTTGGCTACAAATACCTCCCAAAAAACTATGGTTACAGTTTAATCAATATTTCAGCTAATTCAGTGTTAATTACTAGGACCTCAATCGAAAATTTTGCTTCTCCTTTGAGCCCACACCTCCCAGCCATGCTGTCACACTCTAACAGTCCTTTCCAAAACCCAAGCCAACTCAGCATCCCAGAAGATCACGCCATAAAAGCAAAGATTCTCCTCTCATCGTGTTTCTGGATTTTATTTTGTATTTGTACTCACTTGTCACACAGATTTGGATCCGACGACTGACTCAGTTTATGTAGGATATCTACTATTCCCATGTCTCGCAGTTTATCCTGGCGTTCTTGTGAACCTATAACAATAAATTACATTCTTGGGAATATCACCAAAAAAAACACAAAACAAAACCATATGCAGAACAGAAGAAAGGAGTGGCAGCAGAAACCAGTTCAAGGAGAGGGTATGGAGCACAGTTCAGCTAAAACACAGCGATGGAAAACTCCTTCAGCTGTGGCAACTCTGAAACAGAGCTCTAGTTTCTTTTTTGTATTTTAGTATGCATGTGTTTAAAGAAAAAGAAATAATTCAAGGGCAAAATGCCACACAAATTTTATCCTAATGCAAGCAACTGAAGTCAAGCTTCTTTAATCTCATTTTTCTGATTTGGATACAAAGGACATTTAACTGGAGGTGGATTTTTAAGTCTAAGCTGTAGCACTGTGAGCAGAAAAACACTTGGAGCATAACTGTCACTGCTGAACAAAATTCAGTGACCCGAGAGAGGTGGAATAGGAATAGGTGGAATTACACTGGAGGAAAAAAAATGTCCTAACAGCACCAATTTCTTTATTGAAGATCAGCACAGTCAATAAGATCCGTAAATCATCCACCTAACAAAGCCCTCCTCCCAGCCCCAGTGCTCCTCAAAGAACACCACTTCCCATCCATTCTTCTCCTTCCTGCTACACACTGCTGCCTCCATTTGTCCTCTCCATCCCTCACAACAAAACCACTTTTTTTGTTGTTTTGATGGTGCAGAATTCTTCAGTTCCCTCCCAGTTGCCTCCCACTACAGCTACAGGGTTACAACTCCTTTTTCCCATTCCTCCCAGTTCCAGCCACAAATCATTTTACTGGTTTCAGACCCTCACTGCCCAAATCCATTCAGGTCTGGGAAAAATATCTTTCCAACAAAGCCCTTTTCTAATCCATTGCCATCTAATTCTCCCCAGTGAGTCTGCTCCCTCCAACGATGAATTTCCACAATCCCCTCACTGGGATTCTTTTGTTCCAATTGTTTTTAGATTTTGCAGAAATGCTGCAGGTGAAATCTATGTGATACTCATCAGCTCTTCTTTATTGACATCATCTTCCTCCCTTCCTGCCCCAGAACAGCTCTCTACATTTTCTTCTATGTCCTGAGCACATTCACTTCTTCCATATTGCAGAAGATAATGATAATGATATAGGAAAGGAGTGGCAGCAGAAACCAGCTTAAGGAGAGGGGAGTATGGAGCACAGTTCAGCTAAAACACAGCAATGGAAAACTCCTTCAGCTGTGGCAACTTCGAAACAGAGCTCTGGATTCTATAATGATGTCTCCTTTTTCTATGGTTTGGATTCCATTGCACTGCAATAATGACTAGTATGCAACACTAGCCTTTTGATCAGGGTAGTAACTTGTCTGTGTATTAACAGTGAGGCTTTCTTACCTTCTTCTTCATTCCATATGAGATTAGATATACAGAACATGGCAGCAAGCTGAAGTTTAGCATTTGAATGACTCTAAATACAGAAAAAAACAGTATTCAAATTTAGAAGAAGAGATTCAGAATTTCTCACACTTACATTTTGGCATTCATCCTGTAACAAATGAGGTAGAAAAAGTTGGGACAAATTCTGTATCTGTAACTTCTCTCAAAGGTGACACCATGACATAAGACACTTCAATAGCTTTCAGTCAATTCTGTATGTAAGAGATCTATCTACAGGATGCTTCTTTTTCAAGATCATTACAAATTTTCCAAGTAGAATTGTTAAAGGCATTGCTTAAGTCAGCATAACATTACTGTGGGAAATAAGACTGGATATTCCTTCTAATCTGCCAGATAGAGCTGCACAGCATGATTTCTTAAACATAACTGGGTAGACAAGAGCTAAGTGCATGGCAACAACCAACAGTTCACATGAATAAATGCTGAAGTGTCATCTTTAATTCTGGCAAAAGATCAAAATAAAACATTGAAGAGAAATTCCCCCATACCATGTAGTATTTGATTTTCTGCAGAATGTCATCATTGGTCATAATCAGTTCTTTTGCTGTTGTTCCATCTGCTATATTGGCAAGAATACATAACGTCTGAAAGAGACAAAAACTGTTAAGAATATTGGCTGCAGATCACATCCTATGATTTATACAGTTTTCCTGGCAGCTTAGAACTTGTAACAAACAATTCCTTTAATTAGTTTTAATATCTTTAATCTGGAGTTTCCAGCTTGCTTACATTTCGTCAGTGCCAAAGCGGTAACAACTGTGGTTGAACAGCCCTTCCAAAAACACAGCTTTTGCTGTTCTAAAAAATTAAGCAACATTCATTAATTCATTTCAGTGAGTGAAATTTAAGTCTCTTATGGAAATACGCAGCACGTAGAAAAGGTACAATATGTTGGAGTCTGTTCTGTATCAGCAGCTAGAAAAAAAACAACACATCCATGTAGTTCTTTGGGTGAGAAAAAGGAAAAACAGGTCTGTCTGCTGATCCCTCAGAGAAATATTTTTTTTCCCACAAGTTCTAATTATACATCTTACCTGCAGAGGTAACTCAAGCCAACTACTAATGCACCTGCTTATTTCTCGTGAATTAGAAAGGCCATCTTACAAGACAACCTTGAAGCAACAAAGCCCATGTTTGCACTACGTGCACAAGGCATTAAGACTTGCAAAGGCAGCTTTCCTGGTGCTCAGGAGGCACAGGGAGATGCTCTGTGAATTCTTCCCTTAAGAGATGTGCAGGAACTCGGCCATGTTTTCTGTGCATGTGGCTGCAGGAGGGCTCTGGAGAATGACCAGCACGTGTGTGATGCCTTTGTCTAAGCTGCATTCACGTTAGCAGTTGCAGACATCTATTATTTCCCAAAGCTGCTGATGACACACTAACAAGTCAGTCAGTGATAAGCACCATCCTACTTGTGTGCAGTGTTGTGTGTAAGAGTTATTTCTGAAACAAAAACACGTTATCTCTTTGCAGGGGTAAGCAAAGTGCTCTGTATACTAAGGCCCCAAAACTACATTCAGCTTTACAACAGCCTTCTTCCAGGAGGTGCACTTTCTCCTGCAAAATAATTCTCTGAGGTTGGCAGGCAAAATCACCTCCTGTTGCAATAAAGGCCATTTCACTTACTAGAGCTTTATCAAAAGCAATTTAGAAAGAAACAACTGTTTAATCCTCAGCTGTTTCACAATCATGGTTTCACTAAACTTGCTACATATTTAGTCTTTTTGTTGTGTGTGTGTGTGTGGGTTGGTATTTTTTCTGCTAATTTTGCATTTTAAATGGCCACAAAAGACCTCTTTACTTCAGCCCACTCTTCAGCGAGCAGAGATTTAGATCACTCTGGATTTAGGGATTACAGACATTTGCCATGCTGTTCACCATCAATATCCATTCTAAGCTCCTCTGCAATCTCCCACAGCTTC